ATTCCTGCGCTCCTGGCTTGGCCGGGAGGATTCCATCCAGATTCCACGCTGTCATCAGACAGAACAAACTGTCCCTGCTCTCCTTCCCATCTGGAGGGGGATGCGGAGCCCAGCCACGGCCTGGTCTCCTCCTGCAGGGACCTTCCAGCCACCCTCGCCCTCTGCTTGAGGTGAGGGGCATAAAAATCTGTCTGCCTGGATAAAAAAGGAGGTTTTTGAAGAGTCTGAGGTGGTGACGTTGCAAGGGGGGTGAAAAGGAAGTGGTTTTGAGGTAGAACTGGTGGTTGGATTTGATGATGTGAAAGGTCTTTTCCAGTTTAAATGATTCCGTGATGATTCCATGAAATGGGGGGAAAGTTCTTCCTAGGGGAACCTGGGACAGGGCTGGGAGCTGGCTCCCAGTTTAATTCTTTCATTCCAGCCTTTCCTTCTCTTGAATTCTGCACTTCAGTTTGGATACAAGCTCCTGTGTGTGCATAAAACCAATTTTAGTACTTTTTAATACATTTTCTCTGGCATTTTTTTCGAACCATCCTCCACTTCTCCATTTTTATGAAGCTGTACCTGCACCGCTCCCTGCTCCTCCTCAAGGTGTTCCTGGAACCCTGGGAAGCTGCAGATCCCCAGCCCCGAGCACATCTGCAGCTTCCTGATCTTATCCCACTCCCGCATCACCCTGGTGAAAGCTCCTCTTAATTTTTCCCTCCTCTTTTTTCCCCTTCGGCTCCTCTCTTTTCCTTCCCCCCCCAGCCTCCCAGTGGATGCGCTGTCGAGTTTGATTTATGGCCTTGAAAGGGAGACTCCAGTTTAAAGAATTAATGGCATTTGCATATTTGATTTGGAAACTCCCCTGGCAGACCCGCGGCAGCCCCGCGCCGCCGGCTCTTTTTTCCTCTTCCCTTTTCTTCCTTTCCCCCCGGCCCGTTCAGATTTAGCAGCAGAGGTGAAAAGTTGAAGCAGTAAAACCAATAAAACCACATTTATGTGACAGATAAATCGTCTGGAGGCTTCCTCCTGCAGGACCTCTCTCCTCCGGAGCGCGACCCGCAGCCGGGCCGGGAGCGCCGGCAGCCGGGGCCAAAGGTGCTGGCCCCGACCGTCCGCGGAGCTGCCGAGCCAAAAAGATGGATGTGGGCAAGGAGTTGGAAAACACACAGCCCATCCGTCACTGTCGGGAGCCACCTGGGGGTGGTCTGGCTCTGCGAGAGCTCCGGGAACGTCCAGGCTGAGGTGGGAGCGCTGGGAGTCGCGGAATCAATAAGGTTGGAAAAACGCTCAGAGATGGAGTCCAGCTTTTCTTCAGCACTGCCAAGGCCACTGCTGACCCCTGTCCCCAAGTGGATCCTTCAAATCCTTCCAGGGACAGGGACTCCATCACGTTGGACAGCCCATCCCATGAGGAATATTCCCAATATCCACCCCGAGGCTCCCCTGAGGCCATTCCCTCTCCTCCCGTCCCTGTTCCTGGGAACAGATCCCAAATCCCCCCGGCTGTCCCCTCCTGGCAGGAGCTGTGCAGAGCCACAAGGTCCCCCTGAGCCTCCTTTGCTCCAGGCTGAGCCCCCTCAGCTCCTCAGGAACTCTCCATTCCCTTCCCAGCTCCCTCAGGAACTCTCCATTCCCTTCCCAGCT